GCCTAAAATATCTTTTACCAAAAAGGTGGTTCCATTTTTTCCTCACTACAGTGTTCCAGGTAGATACAGTGTTTAATATAACAGGTTAGCCTCCTAAAATCAAGTAAATGTAATCAATATACAAGTTATATTTAGTTAACTTAAACTCAATCCAACTTTCATACCAAGAAAATTTTGCTTCGAATCACTGTAGAGGTCTCCCTTGTGGCATGTTTGTGGAAGTGACAGTTTATTAAGTGACGCCCCATTACATCTTTAATTGAGGATACATGTAGAATTTTCAACTATTTTTTGAGATTTTATACTCAAAGCGAATGTTTTAAGATTTTCCTATATTCATAATATGGGATATTGAATGATACGAAAATTTCACAGATAATGGGGAAAATAGCAGCAGGTACCCTTTTCTTTATACCTTCATTATCCCAAGTTTTTAAGACTTTTTCTTCTCATTCTCAGTTTATTAGATAGAGGTCCTTGCTAGTTTACATAGTTAAGAATAGATAATAATATTCACAATATCTTCTGCCTAAATATATCTTTATATTTAAAATATATGATTAGTATATTTGGAAATCCATTTTTACATTATCTCAAATTTGCATTATAATATAATATTCAAACTTCAATTTAGTAATGTACAACATGTTCTGAAACTCTGCATAAACATGCCTTGAAACCTCCAACCTTCTTTACCAATTCTGACACTCTACTTCACTTCAAAACCTACAGCCTCTTTGCTTCTGCCCCGCTCAGGCAGAGCTCCTTTAGTGCTGCCAATACATACCCCAAAGGCAGTCCAGTCCACTCTCAGCCTCAGTCCAAGGACACTAAGCTCCAGTCTTATATGTCAGCAAACCTAGCTCCCCCAGTTCAGCGCTGGAGGTATCACAGTCTGCAAGCGAGGCTCCTACCCAAATGCACTCCTCTTTACTCCCTGGATGGGGAAGGCCACCCTTCTGTTTTGCACTCTGGCTCTTGTTCTACTCTGGCCACGCCTCTGGTGTCACTACTATTCTGAGTCGTGGACTGAGGAATTTTGGTGCACTGAAATCTTAGGGGTCCTGGCTCTTCTTTCTGAAGATCTCTTTCATACCTAGCTGGGTAACAAGCTGATAAATCTGCTAGATTCCATATACCTTATTTGCGTGGTCCTACCCAATCAATCATTTGGTGGGAGTAAGAAAGATTATAGCTAGAAGAGACATATAAAAGTTATAAGGTTTTGAAGCTCCTCATGGAAAATCTTATTTTGTTCTATTAAAAAAAAAGGCAAATAGAGGAGCAGTATAGATAGTATATCACCTTATGCTTAATACTTAAATTTAAAATACAAACACATTTACTGTTAAGGAACAGTTGTTAACACCTCTTGATGTCAGGTCCCTTTTATTAGACACTTAAAATGACTAAAGGCCTCAAATGGTTTTTATTCACGAACTAGATGGATAGATACTAATCATATTAGAAACTCAAATGGGAGGGAAAATGCAAATTTGTTCATTAAGAACAACAATGAACTTAATGATAATGTAATATAATTTTATCCTTATATTCTCCAAAATGAAAACAGTTTTGTGTCATTGTTATTTTTACAAATTTTTTAAATGTCCAATTTAATAGTAGACAATTAAATTATCTTTTGTTTTGGCTGTAATATATGCTATATCGTTAAGGAACTATATATTTTAATAACCTTTTCTGAGATTTATAGATATTCTTCTCTGACAACATTCTTCATATAATTTTAAAAGATAAATTGCAATGTGAAAGTCAGAAATGATATCAGTGAACTTTGTACTGTTTCATAAATTCTTTAACCTGTCTTGCACTTTGAATGGATCCCCTCCCACCACTACCACTACCACCACACACAGCATGATTATACGATGTCGTGCATGCATTGCTCATTTTAAAAATTACGTTTTTTACTAAGTCATTGCAGTTCTTCTAAATGTTGATAACTTTTACTATGGCATATCAAAAACTCACTGCCATCTAGTTGATTCTAACTCAGTGACTCAATAAGGCAAGGTAAAATTTGGGTTTCTGAGACTAACTTTTTAGGGGAGTAGAAAGCCTATTCTTCCATGGAGCCACTGGTGGTTTTGAACTGCTGACCCTTAACCATTACATCACTACATCACATGAATTAACTTACAAGGCTTTTATTTGATCTCTAATGTGACACTGATAAGTTGTTTTAACATATCACCACCAATCTCATTGGAAAAGTCTTGAGAAGCTGTCATGCTCACTCACAGTTATGGATGTTTTCAAAATCTGCTCTTGAAAGCTTGAATTTTATCATTGCTAACACTGTCAGTTTTTCTCTTAAGGTGACAAGCTCACTTCATTCACTTGTCAAATTTTCTTCATCTAAAAATAGTGTCTTATAACAAAGTATCACTTATCACAATGATTCTTTAAAAAGAAACTGCTGAAAAAACCACCAAAAATCTGTAAATACGTTCAAAAGAGAGAGAAGAAAACAGGAAAAATGATGGTGAGCATGTGATGACTTTGTTCTTTCTCTCCTTGGTATTCTCCATTATGAATGCTGTTTTGTATATTATATAATTAAGGTATTATACAAGCGCCCCCTAACCCCCAAAAAAACAACAACAGCCGGCCAGAGCTTTAGTAACATGCATTTCCCCCACTAGGCAAGTATCAGTGTAGTGTACCCAGTGACATAGCCTGGGAAGGGTCTCTGTTCACAGTGAATTTTTTTGTAAGAGCAGTTTCGCTCTTGTTTTTTGTGATTTAAGATAATAGTGTGCAGCTGCAAAATTGTGTTTCCTGCATGGAAAAATGCTGCTGAAACTGTTGTGATGTTAAACACACCTTACAAGGTCAGCACTATGGGAAAAACTCAAGTGTACAAGTGGTTTTCTTGTTTCAAAAAGGTGAAATGACGGAAGGGAGTGCAGCAAGGGGAGTAAAGTAACAAAATCCCCAAGGAATCCTGAAAATAGACTTCTGACTTGGGGGACAGGGCTTGGCACCTCAACAGACCCAATTGGAAAACATTCATAAGAGTCAGCAAACAGACCTGGAACTATCTCTCCCCCCCTCCCCCCACCCCCCATTTGCTGTATGTCTATCTACATAAGATAGGCAGGATAAATAATCCCGAGGAAAAAACAACGGGACTAGCAGTTGCAGGGCGGGCGGGCTTAACAAATTCAGGGATAAGGGAACAAGAGATCTAAAATTGATGGCAAGGAGTGGGTAAAATGTCTGGTGGGGTTTGATCAACTGCAGTATGTCCAAGAGGAATTACTGAGAGCCAGCTGGAGGGTGAGCATAATAGTCGGGCAGGAGGAAGGTGAAAGGAAATAGAGGACAGAACTAGGAGGCAGAAGCTATTTATAGAGGTGTAGCTATAGGTATGTATGTATGTAAATATATTTATAATGATAGGGATAGGTGATAGTGTACATATATTTATATGTTAAGTATTAAGATAGCTGATGGACTTTGAGCCTCTACTCAAGGCCTCCCTAAACATAAGAACACGTTGTTCTAATAACCTGGCACTCTTTGAAGACAAAATGGATGCTTGAGCAAATGTGGTGAAGAAAGTGGATGGTGCCTGGCTGTCAAAATATGCAGTGTCTGAGGTCTTAAGGGCTTGAAGTTAAACAAGCAGGGAAGCAAATAAGCCCACATGGAAGAAGCATACCAGCCTGTGTGTGATCATGAGGTGTCGACAGGATCAGGTATCAAAAGATCCCAAAACAAACTATATCAATGTGAAAGAGTGGAGTGGAGACCCAAAGCCCATCTGTAGATGATTGGGCATCCCCCCACAGAGGGGTTACAACCAGGGTGTAGTATACCACTGATGAAACACACATTAATTTACTTCCTGAATGCCATGACCCAGTTCTACCTTACAAATTTGACTAGACCAGAGTACACACATAGGTACAGATAAGAGCTCTCAACACAAGGAATCCAGGATAGACAAACCCCCCAGGAACAGTAGTAGGAGTAGCAATATGAGGGTGGAGGCTGCTGGGAGGAGGCAACCCGTCACCACATTGGATATATAGCC